TAATAGTCCTTCAGAAATTACAGTGGACCTATATTCTGGAACATCCTGAAAATGATATTTTGGCCTAAAAAGGCAGGAAATACTATTTTTAACAAATTTAGTGTCCTTTTTTTCTTTCCTTTCCTTTCCTTTCCTAGTTTTTCTTTTTGGTTGGGGTTGGGGTTGGGGTGATGGATGTGCAGCTTTTTATTTGTTTTGTTAGTGGCTGCCTATGTTTTCTGCTTTCTGTCATTACTTGATTGTATCTGCAGCTTTGGTTCCAAAGACTAACACTGGATACCCAATAAGGAAAGAAGATTGGTGCCAGATGCTTGTGGAAGTACTTTTATATGTTCTTGACTTTGTTGCTTGTCAATGATATTACTCTGGAAATGCAGGGTTTTTGTTGAAGAAAAGTGGAAAAACTAATGGCTGGAGTAAGCGTTGGTTTGTTTTGAATGAAAAAAGTGGCAAGGTTAGCGTATAGATTTTTGGCCAGTTTAAAGTGATTGTATGATATTTAATTTCCTGTGCACTGAAGTTGACAAAATCCTTTACCAAAGAGGGCGCTGCCTTCATTCTCAAACTCCTGTAAATGTAGCAAATTTGCTTAAGTTTAGTCATGTACCGCATTAACATATCTATTATTCAGGAGCATCATGTCCAGCTTGAGAAGTATGCTTGAGATGAACTTGATGCTTAAAATGTTATGTAAAAAAAATGCTATCTAGTTTCAATGAGGTTATTGTACAGTGTTCCCATCTTTTACATTTTACAGTGAAGCCATTTGAATTTTTCAATTGTTATTTGGTGCCTTTGGTAAATATTGTCACCCGTTCAGTTATTGGGTCTTGGATAATGTTTATGGCCCCTTCATTAGTCCTTGAATTTGATCATTTGTTTTTTTACCACTACCACTCTTTTGTTTGTAAGTTTACTTTTCCAGCAGGGCTTATATTATTCAACTTTTGTTGCAGCTTGGTTACACCAAAAAGCAAGAAGAGAGACACTTCCGTGGGGTTATTACTTTGGAGGTAAGGACGTCACCAGGAGAGGGGAATTTCAATTGATAATAAAAGGCATAAATCATAATGCTAAGTACTCTGTTATTGAAGTATGCTGAACCTAAAATTGATGTGCCGTACATGTAAAAATTTGTTATTAGGATGATGCTTGGTGAGGATTGACATTCCTCTCTTGTCACATCGCAATTTGTTTAAGAAACTTGGATGACACAAGATATCTACAGAAACGTGTAAATAGTTACAGCCATGTACATCATAACCTTCAAATTATTTGGAATTTTGTTTTAAATATAAAAGGCTGGGCATGAAATGGGAATCTATTTCTAATGTCAAAGTGATTGGCTTTTGTATAATATAAAAGGAAGACTTGAGTTTGAGGAAGATTTGAGCACAGTTGTAATCAATCAAGCCTACATAAGTAACTCTGAAAGGGTTTTCTCAAAATGAAGTTTGAAAGAAAAATAATGTAGCTGTAATAATTTAATCTGCTTGGTTAAAATATGGATTCATTTGACTTGTAAAAGAACAGAAAATTTACAGGCATGTCCTACAGAAAGCAAAAGTTTGATAAAATATAGGATTTCTGAGAGGTAAAAATCTGACCGGAAAAAACAGAGAGGGAGATAGCGAAGGCTTATAGCAAGTGATGGAAGGCAAGTTTTGTAAATAAGATAGAAAAACAACTCCTATGGACATCAGGTGGTATTTCTTTCTAACATAATAAGTTAAAACTAGAAGTTCTATGATGCAAGTTTTCAGGTTGTCCTGCCAGTTTAAGTTCTGAAATTCTTGAGGGGACAAGTGAATGTATTATCTAGTGTATTGCTTTTGCCCTAATAATTTCAAAGTGACCAAGCTTGAAATCAATGCTAATTTTCATGTTTTCTTCTCTTAATGCTTACTGATTTACCCTAATCTTTGGATGTAACAATCAGGAGTGCAATATTGAAGAAGTTTCTGACGAAGAAGAAACCCCATCAAAAAGCTCGAAGGATAAAAAGGCAAATGGACCAAGTTCTGAGAAAGGACCTAGTCTTGTGTTCAAAATAACTAGTAGAGTTCAATATAAGACTGTCTTGAAAGGTGTCTTTAGCTTGCCTCTCTTTCTTGTTTGCTTTCACCCTCCCCTCCCCTGAAAAAAAATACATGCTCACAAAAATGCTGATTAGTGATCCCTTTTTTTTTCCAGCTCACAGCGCTGTTGTATTAAAAGCTGAGAGCATAGCTGATAAGGTTGAGTGGCTAAACAAGTTGAGAAATGTCATCCAGGCTAAAGGAGGCCAAGTGATTGGTGAATCTGGGCCTCCCATGCGTCATAGCATGTCTGATGGTTCCCTAGTGAGTTATTCTTTCCCACCTCTTTTTGTTTTTCTGGGTTAACTGGATGCCATTATCACATACCTTTGCTGCAATTTGTGATTGTTGGAATTTTTTATTTTTTGTGCATAGTATTTTAGTTCTTAAGAAACAGAATATTAGCACCCCTAAAGTCAAAGTAGTTAGGACTGTTTCTTGGAACTATTCTAATTTGCAACCCTTTAGGATACAATCGCTAGAAGACCTGCTGACCCTGAAGAAGAGCTCCGGTGGATGTCACAAGAAGTACGCGGCTATGTTGAAGCTGTTCTTAACAGCCTTGGTGCCAATGTCCCAAAAGTATTTCTTTTTCTTGAATGCCAATCATCATATTATTTTTAATGGTTGATATAATTTTTTGAAATATTTATCATTTCATTCTTGTCGAGCAGGCAGTTGTTCTTTGCCAAGTAGAGAAAGCCAAAGAAGACATGCTTAATCAATTATATAGCTCTATAAGGTCAGTGTACCGTTACTCGCTTTTGTAATGTATGGATATCTTCGTTGTTATGCCCTGTGAGTTGCAAACCTTTTGAATGCATTATATATATTCTTAATGGAAGTTGGTGTTGCACCGAAAACCATCTCAAGTACACTTGAGATTTCTAACTTCTTTCGTTTTATGTGTTGCCAATTTTTTTCTCAATAAAGGCTTACTTGTTGCTCATTTTTTGGTGGCTAGTGCTCAAAGCACAGCAAGGATTGAGGAGCTGCTCCAGGAGGACCAGAATGCAAAGAGGAGGAGAGAACGCTATCAAAAACAGTCCTCTCTTCTTTCAAATCTCACTAGAAAACTTAGCATCCATGATAATCGAGCAGCTGCTGCTTCCAACTGGTCTGATGGTGGGGGTGGAGCAGGTAATGGTGGCTACGAACAGTACAGTTAACCTTTATGTTGATGTTTGCTTATGCAGACATTTCTTAGCTTGCATGTTCATAATAATAGAACCAGTAGCATCAGTATTTCCTTTTCATGGTAATTTCATGAAGCTGATTTATAATTTGTTGTCTGCATAATTTTTGTATTTTACTCTTGATGGGAGTGGCTGCTGAATCTAGTTTCATGAAACCTGCTTATCCTAAATGTGGCTAGTGTTGGTTGAAATTAGTTTGTGGGGAGTAATTCATGTTGGTTTGGCATTCCATTGCAAACAGTAATGGCCATAAATCCCACAGTTGACTTTCTCCTGATGACTGTTTAATTTTCACAGATGTTGCATGTATTCATTGAAAGAGAATCGTTTGCCACTTGTGCTATGTTTTCAGATATTTGATCTCTTTAATGTACTTTGTAATGTTAAATTATGCAGAAAGTAGCCCAAGAACAAATGGACCATCATCAGGAGAAGACTGGAGAAATGCATTTGATGCGGCAGCCAATGGACCTGCTGACAGTTTTGGTGGCCCATCGAGGTCGCACAGCCGACGAAACAGTGATCCAGCTCAGAATGGTGATGTAAGCTCAAACAGCAGTCGCCGCACACCCACTCGAATGCCGCCCGTGCCACCACCGTCTGGTTCATCCTATAGGTACTAGATAAAAGCCTGTTTCAAATTCATTATTCATGCATTATTATTGGGTGGCCGCATGCTTTGCTGCTCGCACTCAAGACGGACAGAACATTTTCTGAAGCTCACATCATGTTAGTAGATTTGTTAAAGTTGAATAGGCGTGTAGATATATATTGCAGTTGCAAGTTCTTGATTTTGAGATGTATTTACCTACACTAAAATTTTCCATTTTACCTTTCCAAGTTCGGCTGCCAGGGTGAAGCGATCTGTTTTACATATATATTTTTGAATCAGATGCTACAAATTGACTACTGTATTTGTTGTTTTGAATCTGACTAGAAAAGTTATTCTTTCTCTTGGTTTGTGCTGCAATGGAGAAGTAAATGCTTGAATTTGACCATTCCCCCCTCCCCCATCATCATTATTTGCGATATCTGTGATTTTTAAAGATTTAGTCTCTCGCTGATTTTTTTTTTAAGATTTAATCGGTCTTTTGTAATTGTAGTACAAGATGTTTTTTAAAATTGTTTTTTTGTTTGAAAATATATTAAAATATTTTTTTTAATTTTATTTTTAAAATTTTTATTATGAACATATTAAAATGTTTTTTTTATGTACTTTTAACATTTTTAGAAAGCATCTAATATACACTCTTATAACCTGCTTATATATTTTTGTACTTTTCAAATCAAGGTTGAAATGAAAAGCAGCAAAAATGATGCTTTCAATTTTGAAGCACCGTTATAAATGCAAAAAGGGAAAGAAAAACACGTAGACAAACACCCTAAGGGTTCTAAGCAAAATGCAAAATAGAAAGCGTAGGTGGGTGAATCAGTTTTTTGACTCTGGTTTGTGAAGTGTCACGCATTGTATATGGTATGTTTATTTTCCCTTCTTTTCATGTAATATTAGTGTAAATGCTCACATTCAAATTGCATTATGAAGTCGAGAACCTCTATCTTTTTGAATAGAAACAATGGTCGTCCATGATCAAAGACTACCAATTTGAAATGAAATTCCTTTATAATCTATTTTTTCAAAGTGAAATGGAATTTTGCTGCTGCTGCTCCTGGCGGTGCAAAGCTTAACCATGGTTTAGCAGTTGAGATGACAACACACTTAACCATAGTTTAGTGGTTGGAATGACAACACCAAACCCTTGACATGTTAATTTCCTGTGATTATGTAGAGACCCTTAATGGTGAACTTTTGGGAGCAGAAAAGTGCATAAATATATTTACAGAGATTATGGAAACAAGCAGGCAAGATATCCTAGTTTTTCAACAACATAAATGCATTTTGATTCTATTTTAAGTCCTCCTTAAGGGGACCGGAATCGTGAATTAGTTTCATAACAAGCTTAACCTGCAAAAAACAAGAAAAGGAATGGTTAATCAGAGAAATGCAATGAACTTACTGAAAGCTTATTATATATACTGATGGCAAACAGGCAACCGTCATAGAGGAAGAAAAACCCTAAATTGTACTGATGCACATGCTAAGTGGTGGGAGAAAGGAACTTCAACTCAGGATATTACCATTACAAAAAGCTATGCACAAGACCATACCAAGAAAGGAACTTCAACTCAGGATATTACAAAAAGCTATGCACAAGACCATACCTGAGTTGATTCCCGCACTAGAAATTCCTCTATAGCTTGCCTGAAAGCCTCATCAATGAGGTAATGGCAGCTATAAGTTAACACAGGCAGGTAACCACGCTGAATTTTATGCTCACCCTGAGCTCCTGCTTCTACTGTGTTCAGGTTAAGTTCAATGGCCGCCTCTATTGCCTGCATGTGATAACCAAGTGTGGATAAATATTCATGTGTCGCTAATGACTGCTGGAAATGATGCTCTATAGACTACAACAATGCCGTGGAAGCTCCAGAATATGACTTCTGTCAGTGTCTGTGTCACTGCAACTTTTACATGCAATGACACTGGCTATCCTTGGCCAGGAATATCACAGTGAAAGATGGAGCGAGGATTCCCAAAAGTAATTTGGTCCCCACAGCTTATTATTAAGAAATGCAGAAGATCAACAAAGTCAACAGACTTGGTTGCATAGCCCACATAAAATTAAAGAACAGGGTCCGTAGTTAAGTTTATCGTGCTTAAAACTTGTGATTATTGTTGTATTCAACATGGCATCATTAACAGACAGCTCTATTATAACGTCCAAAGTAAGCAGGGGGTTGATAATGCAGTTCAGCACAGAAAATGAAAAAAGAAACACTTCAAGAAATCAGATCAAAACCTGGTAATAGCATGCTTCAAAATGCAAGCTTGGATAGTAGGCTTTTGGATGACATCCCCATAGACGTCCAAATAGAGTATCTCCACCAATAATGTTAAGAGCTCCAGCAACAAGCTCATCCCCTTCTTCAGCAACAACAAGCAGCACCTGATCTCCCATCTTTGACCCCATGTTGTGAAAAAAATCCCTTGTGAGATAAGGAGTACCCCACCTATAGAAAAACAAAACCATATTAACAAGGTGGCAATTCAATCATCTGATATGATTTGACTAAATTATATGATGATGTGAAGTAAGAACTAATTGTTTGTAGTAATCTATATCAACAAAATTTTGGTGGAAAGAAGGGGAAAAAAGGTTTCAATGATGGGATCAAACTTGGAAAAAAAGGTTTCAATGATGGGATCAAACTTGTTATCAGTCGTGTTCCTGTAGAAGCTATAGAAGGTATCCCAATGCCTAGCCTGCCAAGACATGAACAAAATACCGGGGTAAGGAATCCTTCTCCTTTACTCTAGAAAGTGAGAGTGGAAAATCAACAACCAAATTCAAGTAGCCTTAACAATTCATGAGCTATAATTTTCTGAAAGAAATTACAGGGTGTTAAAATGACTAAAAGCTATGCATTCATTATTCATGAGTAGTGGATGAATAAGCACCACTCCTTCTGGCCTAGAGAGAATCTTGGCTGGATGTCATCTCTTTGGCACCATTCAAGCTAGATAACAGCAGCAGAACTAGGAAGTAGATATTTAAAACAAACACTCAGGCACCACCTGTGTTTTGGGTTCATTTTCAAACTCTAGAAATAACACATGGAACTGACAAACACCGAAAACTTTGCTCTGGATTCTATAATTCAGAGTGGTTGATATGGCAGCATGGAATGACTCTGTAGGTACCATTCCTAGTAGCTTTGTCCGAATGGCAACATGGAAAAAGGTTAAAAAACAGATGCATAATTAGAGTACACTTTCAGCTTTCAGCTATTCAAACAAATACAATTTCTCCTTTTCATCTCTCTCCTCTCCCCCTCAGCCCAAATCCCAGCACACAAAATCTTTTCATGACCTTTTTATACTAATTGACAAGTTTAGTTTATTCTTTATTTAATTCAGTCTTGGATTCAGATACATTTACAAAACAAGACAATGTTAGAAGGCAAATGTCTATACACATGGTCTGTGTGTATGTGTTTTTTTTTTTTTTTTTTTGGGGGGGGGGGTGTTGGTTGTCATAATTTCTTAGGCATACAGTTCTCTCCTCCAAAAATTGAAACAGTACTGAGATGCTCGAACCTCCAAACATCATTTCAAATAAATTTAATGATTAGGAAAAGCTCAAGGAACTTGAGAAGCTTGGTCATGTTCATTTTGTAACCCATTTTGTTTTTTCATTTATTCATGTTAAGGTAGATTTAACTGCTCCATTTATATGCCTATTCCATTTTTGAACCAGGCGTAGGCATGCTCAATTAACATATAGTTTAATTAATCTCTCTGCTTTGATCATAGAGCTTATTCCCTTTGTATTCTTTTTATACAGATATTCAGAAAGTAGCTCCTGTAGGGCACTTTCGTTTTCCATACATAAAATTGAATCTTATCAATGCATGCCAGTTCAATGTGATTTAAATTATTCTGTATTTTAAATTCATATCTTCCAAGATTCGATTCATTTGATAATATTTCTACAAATCTAACAAATATCAAGAGGCACCACTAATGTAACAGAGACATTATATTCAATGCTTATGCAATGAGAAAAATGTCAAATGACAAGTTGCTTTGCTATACATTATAAACTCCATATGAAGAAAATCAATCACGTTGAAACAAGATTATAGCATGTTTAAGACCATATGATATGCAAAACAATAAAAAGAAAAATAGAATCTACGGACTAAAAAATTACGTGATAACATATATTACCATTAAAGTTAATCACTAGCAGATACAATTACTAAATACCTTTATTTCATAACCCCGAAGACGTTTCATATTCAAGTTTTGAGTAGAAACCTGCATTACGAAAGTTCAGTTAGACAGCATCGTCAAAATAAATGTTACTACCTGATTACGGAAGCACTCAGGACCTAAACCTAAATTAAGCCAAGGAAACAGAGTAAACAGGGTCCAAATCATATGTAAATGGGAAAGAATAAACAACCAGGACAAGATTCTCAAGACCTAACAAATCACATTCAATATTGATACTATGCTTTTTGAAAGTAGGCAATGCATTGTGTCTCCCGCTGAAAGATCAATAACTATCATCATATTAAGAGAGTGCAGAGGAAAATGCCATAACATATAACTACAGATCATTGATCATGATGAGTTTCAAAAAAAAAAAAAAAAAAAACATTAGAAGTCAGCCCCAATTTGGTCAATTTTGCTTCCATGAGTTTTACAAGGTCTATGAAATGTACAGCATGAACGAGAAAGATGTATGCATTCTCTCTTCCCTGCTAGTTTTTTACCTATTTCTCTTATTGAGCAAAATATCAGAAAGGCGGATCAGATCAATGCCATATATGTGTCAGATATGGATTTCCTCCAGTATATTAACATTATCTGATTCAAATGCTGGATTTTCCTGAGATTTTCTATGATTTGAGAGGCAAACTTTAAGGAAAAAAATAGTTTAATCCTCTGTCAAGATATGTGCTACAAATAACCATGACCAAGATTTAAACCATGTAGTGTAACTTAACCGGCAATAGTGTATGTTGATCCCTTTAGATCACAACAAAGAATCCAAATGTAAGACCAATAAGAAAACTTTCAAGTTCGTAATAATAAACTAGCATGCCTCATCATGCAATGGTGCAAGCATTGTGTGCTTCCTGTAGCACTCAGATCAACAGACATAGGCTTTACAAGCCAATGTAAAGAGGCACAAATCAAACTCATTTGAGTGAGCGTGATGGAATCCAAGGAAGAAAAGGAGATGAACCTTTTTGCGCTCTTGACGAATATTTTTTCTTTTACTTTGCTTCATATCCATCAAGAATTCATCAAAACTGCATCAATGTAAGGAAATTCTAAACAAAATTTTATCTGTATATAAACAAGAAAAACAAATTAGATCTAGCATTAGGTCAAGACGAAGTGGCTGGGTGATTGATTCTGCTGAGAGGAAAAAAAAGAGCACTTCAAGGACTTGCTATATAAAATCATACATGATATTTAGAGCAAGATGAGTTCATGCAGTCAGAGACTATGAGATCTCAAGTCTGACAGGTATTTCAAACAGGGGAACTTAATTAACTAGTGCATACTCATTGGTGGTGTTTAAGTATTCATGAGCCACAGGTTTATGAAAAACATGAAGAGCCTTAGCTGTCAATTTGTAAAAAAGTAGGCTTAATTTCAAGGAAAGGAAATTTGGCGGGACTGTGAGGTGGCTGGGAACAAGTTGTCATAATTAGATTTATAATATTACCTGACAAAAGTTTAAGCTAACTAACATAGGTTTAAGTTATTGATTTCCTTTTTCTCTGTTGTGAAATAAAAGGCCCTTGGAACGGGGATGTATTACTGTACAAGTTCACATAAAAAGACCAGGGAAACTAAAGGCACCACCATCAAAGGTAAGATAGATAGATCAGGCTTTACTCAGATGAAGATTTATGAGCAAACAGAAAATGAAGAGATATTCTCGCTGACTATGGAACTTATGTGCAGATGACAGTGTAGCATAATTGACAAAAACATGAGGCTGTCATAGTCATACTAAATTGTAAGAGAGGTGTGTGTTAAACAAGCCATAGATTTCTTGACATTATTAATGGCATATTGCAATGCATAATCCCAGACACACTCTATGAACTGCAGTACAGGAAGGCAACAAGTTTCCGGACACTGTTGAGAAAACCATGACTTGTCTTCCCAAATCAACTTTACACTGATTGCTTGGTAGCGGGGCTTATCCTTCCTTTGATGCAATTCATAATTAGATATTGCATCATAATTGCATAAATTATGAAATTATAAACTGGAAACTTACCTCAAAAGAGAGTGCAAAGAACTTTAACTGGACTCAAACTTTAAATGAGCAAAATAATTCACTTTACATGGTACCTCATGAAACACTCACTTTTTATAGTTACGATTTTTCCAGTGATACTGCATTCCAATCCTCTGCAGAAATCCCTTTTCCTTCAGCATGTGCCACTCTTTTTCAGTGGGGAAGGTGATGTGCAGTGATGAGACCTTGGACTACGAAAAGAAATAAATGCAATCAGGAAATTAATTCCAGGTTCTGTGGAAAGTGAATGGTCTTCAGAAGTCCTTTGCTAGTGATCAAAACATCTTAGACTGGACAGTTCTTCTGATAAAAAAAAAAAAGGTAACAATCACAAGTGCATCTAAGAGTAACACATGCCTAGAAACTGAATTAAACTAATAATAATATGTAGGAAGTTGTGAACAAATGGACAGATCTTATAAAGTTAAAGTCAATCACGAAATGAGATTCAACTAGAATGATTGATATTAACACTCTTCAAAATCTTTACAAACCCATGCAAAGCATTGCTTGTGAAAGTGTCTCTGCATTTTCAGATCACAAACAAACATAGAATCTCTCACCACCTCCACCAAGGAAATTTTCTCTTTTCTCAAGTTGATTGCCTCCTCTTGTTTTTCTTCTCTGGCCTTCTACCAACAAATGCAAGCTTATTTAGATAAGCTCCAAGTCACAACCAACCCCATCCTCTCTCTCTCTCTCTCTCTCTCTCAAATAAAAAAAAAAGGAAAGAAAGAAAGAAAGCAGTGGCAAAAAGAGTTCAAAGTATTGTATTCATTTTTCACAATTGTGAAATTTCAGCTACCAGTTTTGTACAATAGTCTATCATGCTTGATCACTGAGAAAAGATCATTTTTCACAATTGTGAAAATTTCAGCTACCAGTTTTGTACAATAGTCTATTATGCTTGATCACATGACAAAACAATATTCAGTGGATAGTTAAGGTTGCATGATTATTGATTCCTTTTTTCCTAACTACAATTTAGTATAATTGAAAACTAATTTGCAGCTGTAGAAGGTTTTGGTGATCAGAGAATAACAGTAACATCAATTCTCCTACTGAATGATGTAATCAAGGCCATGGTTTAACCAAACTACCACAAATTATAAAGCAATATTTTTCTAACACATCCTACTATAGATCCATAATAAAGTTCCCACCTTCTAGAAACATCAGTCTACCTGAAACAATCCAATCAAATTGGAACAGGAGAGTTGATGCCAATGACACGGATGAACAGTGAAAATCACTCGGTCTTATGGCTGGTTTCTGGATTTATAAACCACCATCAGGTTTACATGAAGGAGCCATTTACAGATAAAATACATTCTTGAACAGTATTTTAGAAAAGAAACATAGAGTTGATTGTGAAATGGAAACAATAACTCCGCTCACTTAACCATCTTACAGAAATACATTTGGAGACATTCCTTAAAAAAAAAACCCCATTAATCACTTGAGTTAAAAAATTATTTAGATAGAGTTAGAAGAATAAAATTGAGAAAGAATTCATGGGAAACCAGAAATATTTTCCCGTGACCTTGCATGAAATGGAAAAGGGAATAAAAACATGCATGAAAGCAGCAGTATTAATATATCAATTTAACGTCACACCTTGGCTGCCAGATCCTTCAGGGAAGAGACTAGAACATCGAAAAGTTGATCTCTGAAGGGGGTATTCCGAACCAGAATCCTTGGACCAGTTACTGGAGTGAAAGGCACACAACACTGAAACTTTGGATAATACCTTGATCCGAAACCATAGTAGGCATCAGCCCAAGAATGGTCAAAAACAAATTCGCCATAGGAATGGCTGCACATCCAAGTAAAAGAGATGAAACAACAGCTAACCAGTAGAAGTGTTTAAAATTGAATTGTTAAAAGGATTGTAGAACAAGGTAGATAAGAATTGGCAGTAAGGGCAGCATAGAAGATGCAGAACCTTTTAAGATAGAGTGGAACAACACCCAAAACATTATCAGAGTCATCCTTAGCAACAATGTGGCTAGGCATCCATCCAGTCTCCTGGAGTTGATTCAAAAAGAAAATTAACACAGCAGCGGAACATTCAAGCTTAATTTTATTATTCTAGTAGTTTACTATCCATATCACACAATATCCAAATGGAGATAAATTTCTTAATCAATATGTTGAAGTATTTCAGTTTCATTATCATCTGGTCCAACACTAAGGAAGACCAGACATAAATTGAACTCACATCCAAGATGAGACCAGCAGTCCCTGACTCAAGAAAAAAGTTAGATTGCAACTCTTTCTAACAAGCAAATCCAATGTGGTAAGGAAGGACAATTTTGGTGGCCCTTTGACCAGTGCTGTCCCTCAAGAATCCAAGGTGAGTTTACAGCTAAAAATGACATTTTCAGTATTTCAAGCAGGAATTTCAACTACTATAGCATAGCTCACAAGATATCTTTTGTTAAGGAATATTTTGTAATTGAATAGGGATTTACACCACATAAAGAGGAAATCAGTCAAAGCAATATATCCACGACCAACAATTTATGTTAAATTGGAAATGAAGAACCAAAACAGACTCATTTTCAGGGCTAACTGAAAGACAGCCAATTATATTGCTCTCAAGTGATGTCCAAGTGAGACCTATGCTGATTTAATGATAGTACTTGGAGAAGCTTATAGTGAAGCAATGATTCTCAACCTTAACTGCGGAGCGTGACTCTTCTAAGCTTGAAAGAAAACCATGGGTAAGAAATGGATTAAACTTTTCAGGGCCAGTAGCGTCCAAATTGCAGGCATCCCATTCATGCGACGAAACTTCTGAGATTGAAGAAATGATGGAAAGTGAAATCCTCTTAGGTGTTACTTGTTTTTCCAAACCACCCCTGAATTTAAAACCAACAAGATTGGAATTAGCTGCTAACACAAGAAGGAAAAAGATTCCAAATTCTGTGGGACCATCAAATATAACCTCCAAGCCTGACCCTGTTAGAATGGAATCTTGTAGTGAAACTGAAACATCCAATTCTTTTGGCTGCACAGACTTCTTCGATCCCCAAAACAGTGCACTGATTTTAGATTCCTGAACTGCAGTCCCCGCAACCTGTCTGGATGATGATTTTGCCTGCAATTACAAGAATTAGATGCATATGTTCTCATCATAATCTCTTTGCACATCCCCAGTTACAAATGATAGCAGCCTAAGACAAAAGTAGTAACAGACAGTAGTTGATGTGCACAAACATATTCAACCAATACACAGAATTCAAGCTTTAACCAGACAACTTAGATTCCTAGTAAAATTTCATTCAACGTAATGCATGACTTCAAGACCATCTTCCATACTATGAAAAAACACGAAACATGGATCATCATGTACACTTTTTGAAGATAAAAACAAATCAATTAGCTTACAAATGACCTGAGATGTCAAGAGAGAAAAGTAAAAATCACGAGAAGAAGAAGACTTACACGGTAAGATGGGAAGTGGCCCAGAAATGGCGAAGGCTTGCAGTAGTAGCTCATTACTACTGCTGCCATGGCCACAAAATTCTTGGCTCTCTCTCTTTCTGAAACCCGGAGAAAATAGAGAGAGAGAAATCAGTAATAACTTCATCCACGTTGCCAGTTGCAGCGCCATATGTTCTTTTAGATTCGTCAATTTCTTCCACTTTCATCCTCGTTGTTTCCAATTTCTCAATACCATTCCTGTTTTTTCAAAAAAAGAAAAGAAAAGAGTACATACTTATAAGAACCGATTCAAGTCCCAGTCACTTGTAGACCTAGTTAATTTATTATTTTTTAATTAAAATAATATTATTTTATTTTTTCAATAAAACATATTATTTTTTTATAAAACAAAAAATGAAAATAATGTTATTTTGATAAAAAAAAAAAATTGATTCAAAAAACCCCAGGTTGGCGGTGCTAAAAAAATATAATTTTTTATATTTAAATTAACATTTTAAAAAAATAAAATAATTATATAATATCAATACTCCTCTATTATTTTTACATTTTTCTTTGTTTAATTTGAATTGTTTAACAGAGGGTCACCAGGTTAATCTCCACGGGCTAGATTTCATAACTACACGAAAAACTCCTTGCACGTAAAAATACAAGTATAGTCTAGTCCTTAGATTTTGTAATTTTGCAAGCTATACACAGGAGTAAGACTAGTAGAAATTAAGGAAAGTAGACGCAAAGAAAGAAGGCTAAAATCTTCTTCCAGCAAGTCTGGCATAGTTTTAATAACCAGTCCGGCGACCAACCTGGTTTAAGATTCAGATTTCAGGTTTTGATATCAGATTTTTATTAAGATTTTGATTTAGATTTTAGGTTTTGATTTCAGATTTTAATTAAGATTTTAGATTTTGATTAGGTTATTAGGTTTATTTTAAGTTTTGATTATATCATCAGATTTTAATTGTGTCACTAAGTTAGGCAAGTTAAATTTTATTTTTTATTTTAATAAAAAAATAAAAAAATCAATATATTTATAATTGATTTTTAACTAGATCTTACCAAGTCACCAGATTAACTTGCCAGATCAGCAAATGGTATCAATTTTTTTATTTTTTTTATTTATTTTAACCCAATTCAATTCTAGTCCTAGCCTGCTAAACTCCAAACCCCAAATTAATTCATTGAGCCTGTTAAACCCTAAATTAATCTATCAAACTAGACTAGGTTTCAAAACTATAAAATCCAGCACAAGTTTGGTGTCTTAAACCCCAAATTAATTTACCAAACCAGACCAGGTTCCAAAATTATAAAATCCAGCACAAGTTTGGTGTCTTTAACCCTTATTGTGGACTCGAACACAGAATTCTCCATGTTTTTTACCCCATGCGTTTATATTAACTGTGAACAGATTGATTAAGAACTGTCTTCGTTCTTACATTTTACAGCACCTTTGTAGAACTAATTCTATGGTTGTGTCTAGCATATAATGTGATGGGCTCGAGGTTTACACCTTATGCATCCATGCAGTTTATAAAAGTTGAAAAATAAGAAGATTTCAGCTAAGATAGCCGAGGGGGAATTATTTTATACAATGTTGACATTCCAAGCAACCAATGATTTTATACAGGAACAAGATTGGCAAGAAGACCACTTTTTAATTCTAACATCAGAATCGAGCAACCAAAACTTCCATGCAAGTGCAAGAAAAAATTGTTACTTTCTTTAGCTGGACAAGAACAAATTCTTGACAAATCTTTCAACGTTCAGACAAGCTAAAACATGCTGAAGAGCATAAACAGATTTCATTCAAACTCTCTTGCCAATATATGTATCATGCCCGTGAAAAAATCTCATTGGCTCTCGATGCCTTGTCAGTTCGAGGTAAACATCTGATGTCCTGAGAAAAACTCTCCCGATCCATCCATGGAAGTAACCAACTGTTGCAGGTCAGTGATTAGTTTATATTCGGAAGCTGATTAGCCAGAATTGAAATAAGAAAAGGATAATATTGCCAATGACCTGATGACATGACTACAAACCAATTTCAACAATGAGGGGGTAAAATATCCTTGATTGAGAGGCCAGGGGTTTCCAATGCAACAAACAAGTGCCCTGAGTGCTGATTAGGAACTTACATCACACAGTGAGAGATGCACCATTATCTGCTTCTGTTAGATTGAGTATCATTGTGGCTGCTTTTAGGGCCCTGATAATCATGGACAAAGGGTTATGGCCCCTGGGATATTCATAACAAAGAAAGGGAGCAAATATAACAAATAAGGTTGGTGCATGCGAGACAGTTGCGTTCATCAATTCAATACATCACCCTGCTTGGCATGAGTTTGTGACTAAGCACGAAAATCAATATATTTTTATGGTTGCAGATAAACAAGAAATATGCCTGTTTATTCTGTTCCTTCTTCAAATCTCTTCTGTTCTTTTTGTGAGAATCAAACATTACCAAAATCTGGCACAAGACTCTGGTAAGACGATTGTCTTTTCATCTTTTGACTATCAGTGTCTACCAGAGCATTTTGTGCCAAATTAAATCAATAAATAATACATCCTGAACATAGTTTTATGTTATACAGTGACAAAATAAGATTTGAAAAATCAACATGCAAGTTGACTTAACCAGGATATTGAGCATCTTCGCCTGTTACAGGGTTGCTTCAACAACTTTCATAAGAGATTCCTACTTCTATTGTTTTAATATATACACTTTCTTTTTCTTTCTTTCTTTCTTTCTTTGCAAATGTAATGTATTCTGATTTTGAACTGGCAAATCTTGCACTCGTTCACTACAATTTGAGCATTAGATTAAATTATTCAATCACACAAAAATAAATATTTCAAGACAGTTGTGTTATGCCACGTTGATTCGCTACTAATTTACTTAATGAAACCTTCACTTCAGATGCTCAACATGTCCTTAGCTAATTCTCCTATGCTATATTTTCTATTTTTTGGTAGCACATTTGTTTGAACCTGAGGAAGGCTATATCCATGCAAAATAATTATGAGAAGAAACTTGACAGGAACAAAAGACTGAATTTTAATATCATTTCAACTATTACTGTATTGGCCTTTCAAACCAGTTCTCAAAATTTTAATATAACTTCTTGCAAGATATATGTAAAGGACAAGATAACACATTTAATTTTACTACATTACCAACAGAAACAGAAACAAGTTTTTCCTATAAAATTGATATAAATATACAACTCATAGAACTCATGCACAAATTCATAGAGCCATTAATTATGCTAAACTTTATTCAGCAAAGGGCAAAGATGATCTTATAGGGAGTAAACTAGATACCATGTGTCAGGATCCTGGTACAGAGAAGCTGAAGTGCCAAAGCATGACGTAAGCATGTCAGTATGTATCACACCAGGGTTAAGAGCAACAATTGCCATTCCTTCTGGCAACTCCTTCGCCACTGATCTACTTAAACCCTCCACAGCCCATTTAGATGCACAATACGGTGCAACCTGTAAAAGATAAAACTGGTCAAAAACTAAAAAAGTGCAGTTCAGAAGAAGTGCATAAGGCCACTTTGAAACAGAGACTTCACAAAAATAAATAAATAAGAAACCCCACAATCCCAATACCGATAAATCAATACAGGCATATATCTACAATACATGGAATAAGCTAAACTATATCAATTTTCCAAGGGTAGGTTTGCTTAGGACCCAACACTAAATTTATGTTTTGGATCTTCCCTTCATTAAAATTTGTTTGCTCTAAGATACCTTAACATCGATGTTTTGATTAAATATAAAAAGATGGTTCCATTTCGATTCTCAAATATATCACAAGGTCTACAATTTTTCAAAACATGTAAGATTTTTCTGCCATCATTTCCTAAACTTTTCTCCTTTAATTCTTAGACATGTATGTTTGGGAATGTGGTAACGGTTGCTTTTTAAAGTATTTTTCATTTCAAAACACATCAAAATAATGTTTTTTCATTTTTAAAAAATTATTATTAATATCAGCCCATCAAAATGAAATGAAAACATCAAAAAAATATTAATTTGAGACAAATAAATAAATTTCAATTTTTTTCAAAAACGCTTCCAAAATGCAATGCCAAACACACATCTCAGTATTGTCCAAAAACAAACAAAATCTTAAAATTCATTAGCCTCCTAATTGATATAACTATAAGGGAACACGAGCAATTGAAATCAGCCACAAGAAAACAACAAAAGAAAGTAATCTTTTTGCGAATTTACTTGCTTTCTACTCACTTACCAGCGCAGCGCCGGACCTTCCCCATCCAGAGGACATGTTAACAATAATCCCTTGCTTGTTTGGTATCATAAGAGGGATGAAATGGCGCAACATATTGGCTATCCCTTTAACATTTGTATCAATAACACTATCAAATTCTTCTTCACTGACCTCCCAAATCTTCTTGTTTTGGTTAATTGTACCCGCATTGTTCACTAAATACTCAACAAACAATACCAGGCCCAAATCAATTTTACTACAAATCCTATAAATAAATAAAACTTTAAAAAATAAATTAATTAATCTTACCTATGATATCAGGAACGCCTTTCTTCTCAACAACAACACGCGCAAGCTCTTCAACACTGCTATTTGATTTCTGCAACCAAAATTAATTATTAATTGATTGATTTAGAAAATTAAATAATAAAAGATAGAGATGATAGTATAGTACCACGTCGGCGTCGAGGAGGAGGTGCTTATCGGAGGTGAATTGAGACTGGAGAGAATTGAGATTGTCCTGGGAACGGGAGCAGCCGATTACAATGTGACCTCTCTTGTCTAATTCTAGGGCTAATGCTCTCCCTAGACCTTTCCCCACTCCTGTTATCATCACTTTCTTGCTGCCCCCTCCTCCTCCTGCTGCGGCGGTTCCGGCCGCTCTGCTCACTGTCCCAAGCGCCGTCGTTGTTGGAACCGTCATCCTGCTCTGAAATTGCTCTGTTAGTATTGTTACGGGTAAAGAATAAGATATGTGGCGATAGTTCGGTGTAAATTGCAGAGCTAAATCACGGGTCTTGTGGTGGGGGTTGTTTTGTCTTTTGCTGTATGATGTGGAGTGTTCTGGACTCTGGATTTTTTGTTTGCAACAGTGTCAGCTTGAAAAAACAAAAAAACATTTTTAAGTATTTTTTTTAATAGTTGTTAGGT